TAGCTTGCCAAGTCTTTTTTCTTTTGAATTGGAAGAGTGATATAAAAAGCAGTCACAGACAAGTCTGTCTTCACCAACCTGGGAAATGGAGAGACTGGAGGACCTCTGCACTTAGCCCCGCGGCCGCAGGAATCCCAGCGAATACCATCCCAACAAAGGTATGTTTCTCAGGCCTCTCCCTCTTGAAGCCTCAATTTCCTAATGTGAAAATGTGAATAATAAAGTCGCCCACCTCGGGGCTGTCAGTGCGGATGAACTGAGCTGCTCCGTGTCGTTCACTCAGAAATCCTGGGCACGTACAAAAGGTCCAGCCCATCTGAATTGAACCAAAGTCAAAATCTGACCTTAACACCTGTAGGACCCCAGCCAGCAGCCGTGAACAATGGGCCATGATGCGACCGTGGACCGGTTGCTGAGGCATTGCACTTCTGCTCCCATGCTGTCCAGAAAGGAGCTGTGGGAGACGGCCCTTCGAGGAGGCTGCTTTCCTTTGATCTGCACCTTCTAATACCTCTGAAGCACTTTGCCATTTTCTGCCTGGGTCTGTTCAGGGCTGTCTCCAGGCGACTGGATCCTTCCTGTTCCTGGGCAGGGCCGGCTGCCTCAGGCCATTGGGAACGAGACCTCCGGTGGGACTCCCTGGGTGGCATTTTTTTTTTTTTAAACATCTTTATTGGAGTATAATTGCTTTACAATGGTGTGTTAGTTTCTGCTTTATAACAAAGTGAATCAGCTATATGTATACATCTAACCCCCATATCATATCCTCTCCCTCTCGCATCTCCCACCCTCCCACCCTCCCTATCCCACCCCTCTAGGTGGTCACAAAGCACCGAGCTGATCTCCCTGTGCTATGCGGCTGCTTCCCACTAGCTATCTATTTTACGTTTGGTAGTGTATATATGTCCATGCCACTCTCTCACTTCGTCCTAGCTTACCCTTCCCCCTCCCTGTCTCCTCAAGTCCGTTCTCTAGCAGGTCTGCATCTTTATTCCCATCTTGCCCCTAAGTTCTTCATGACCTTTTTTTTTTTTTTAGATTCCATATATATATGTCAGCATACAGTATTCTTTTTCTCTTTCTGACTTACTTCACTCTGTATGACAGTCTCTAGGTCCATCCCCCTCAGTACAAATAACTCAGTTTCGTTCCTTCTTGAAGCCTACGGCGGCTCCTCTCGCTGTGGGCTTTGGCCCCGAGGAAGCAGTAGGAACAGTCGCGGCAACAAAGGCCCTTTCTGACCAGTGGCGTCTCGTGATGCCTTTGGGTTGCTGCCCTTGGAGGATGCTGCGGCGTCTCTGAACCGACCGGCATGGAGTCCGGCGACATAAACATGAACTCTACAGACTGTGACGTCGCGGGACGCTGTTGAGGATGTTTGCAAGGCAAAAATATCTGAGGTTTCAGCAAAGAGAACGCGCCGTGCTTCCTCTAAACCGGGGGTTCGCTTTTGCCCTGTGAACACCACAGCTCCTGTTACCTGATGCTTTCACTCCTTGCTTAAGCTGCTGGGGAGCTCACAGCCAAAACTGTGTCCTGCTTCCCTGCACCCGAGGCAGGACATTGAGTGTGCCCTTCTGTGAGGTCATCTAACCTTTATTTTCCCGTTCATGTTCCTCTTCAGTCCCTCGAAGGTTTTGATGGCTGTTATCCCCAATAAAACCTGTTGATACGAGGCTCACAGGATCATTTCTCGACGGTCAGCAGCCTGAACAACAAGCACCCCAGCGTCTGTCCATCCCACTGTCCGCAGCCCAAAGCGCTCGGGGTGCTCGTGGCGTATTGACATTCATTTAAAATCCTGCCCTGTCATTTATTCCCTTTCAGTCCCACGTGGGGCTGGGCTCATTTTCACAGCTCCTCACAGGACTCAACACCGGCGGTAAAGAGGACTGAAAGGGGATCTGTGTGCTGGGCACAGTTTTGCTGAGTCAAAGCGATTTTCAAAAGAAATTCTCTGAGCCTTCTGACAGCCCGTTTCTAAGATCTTCCTCCCGCCCTCTCTTGTTCCTTTCTTCTCTCTGGCCCTTCTTTCCTTCCACTCCACACATATGTCCCCTAGTAGCTGAACACGTTACTTCATTTATTTGAGCCTCAGTGTTTTTTTTCTTTTCATCCATGAAAGAGGGATTTTAAAAAGTCATAGGATGATTAGGTGGATTAAATGAAATCATTCCTGTAAAACCCTGAGAAGCAGTAGAAGTGCAATGAATGTTAGCGCTATTCATTTAACAAACATTTATGAAATACTGTATGTTAAATGCTGGACACACACAAACATTTCTCAAGGAAAAAGAATTCTCCGTATATAAATGCACGCACGCGCACACACCCATCCACCGCCCTCCACCCCACACAGTAGCCCAGGGGCAGCGAGGGACGGAGTTTCTGCTCGTGGTGAGGATTGTTGAACTTCTGGGACAGGCTGGGAGTGGCACCCTGCTCTGTCCTCCTCCAGAAGCCTTCAGGAGGCTGCTTTCACTACTTCTCATCTCCTTGCCTCACCTGAGTTTATGGCATCCCCCTCCTTTTTGCCTGTGAGACCCGCCGTCTCTGGTCTGGGGCTCCCTTTAAGGCCCCAGCCCTGGGCCACACGTGAGGCCGGGGAATTCCCAGGCCTGAACCCCACTGTCCACTCCCACCTAGGTGACTTCATTGTCACTACCTTTGTGCAAATCAGCCTAAAAAGGATGGGTCTCAGTGCTTCGTTTGTCCCTTTTTTCCCAATCCTGGCCCAGTGACTTTCCGTTTCCCTCTCTGCTTCTGTGGACCTGTTGTCCCTCTGGTCCCACAGGTGCTAAACGCCCTCCATCCAGTGACAGTCGGAGTGACTGATCTGGAGCTTGTTTCCTCCCGTCTTCCCCAGAGCGTGTGCAGGGCCCACCCATCAAGATGCCCGGATAACTGAAGCCATCCACCTCCACTCAGGGCCGTGCCCGGGCAGGGGCGCGGCCTGGACATCTGCGCTGTTGCTGTAATTACTTCCTGAACGAATCCCCGGGGCTCCTCCCTGCCGCCTGCAGGGCCTCATCACCTTGACCGGCGTCTCTGTAAAGGCCTCTCTTCTCCTCCCCACCAAGACTTTAATCCTAGACTGGCCTTAGCAGTCGTTTCACCCCTGACCCTAAGAAGAGCTGTTTTCACTGAAGAACCAGACGGACGGAATCAGTTCAACTGCAGTTTGAGGGAGCTGAGTTGGCTGCTAGAAAGAACTTTCTTCCCTGAGACTCGAAGAAACTGAAATAGACTACTGACAGTGGTGATGGGATCTTTCCAAGAGAGCTCTAGGGAAGGGACTGAGAGCGGACCTCTCTTGAGACCTATTAGAGAATTGAACATCCTCCCTCAGCCCCTCCCCAATCTAAGGAGAGTTCTTGCACTTGGAAGAGACCTAGCAATCATCTATCCCAACCTCCCTCTCAGTGCCACGTTTGGGATACCTTCTCTTAGCATGAATCCTCCTTAATTGTTCATTTATTCATTCAGTCACTCATTTCACAATATCTGTGACTCACGGCATCCTATGCCCAGACCTCCAGTGTCCCAAGCACAGGGTGGGCACAGGTGACAACAGCAAGGTAGTGTCCGACTAACCCAGAAGGGTGAGAAAGTTGGATAACCGTTGTCTCCAGACTGTCAAGTTAATCAAAGCAATAAACCTCCTCGGTTGTTTTAGGGAATATTCTGCAAGAAAGGCTTTGCATTCGAGGGGACATTCTGTCTTCCAGCCAATGCCAATCAACAATGGCAATGAAACGAAGAGGTATAATCACTGCCATGAAGAAACCTCTCACGTGTGTAGCCCTGGAAGCGTGCACCGTGCAACAAAGGATCTGAAACCCTGAATTAATCTTGGTGAGTAACTCAGAGCCCAGAGAATTTGAGGCAGTCATTGCCCTTTGGGACCGTCTGCACATCAAGACATGCAGTGTGTAGCTGCCGCACTTGGAATTCAAGTTGCCCAAAACATGGCCTCAACTTAACGTTCTCCTGAAAGGCTGCGTTAGACCTTCGGAGGACCTAGCCGCTGGTAGTGCCCCCTCTACCCTCCAAAGAAGGCGAATATACAACACTGTTAAACACCATAACACAAGCATAAGGAAGTCCAACTCCGTTCCGATTTTTCCCATAATGTCTTCTTGATGCTGTTTGTAAAATATCAAATAAGAAATTCTTGAACAAAAATGGTGGGCGTCCTGGCCGTGTTGATGGCCTGGGTATGTGCTCAGTTTGATGGAAGGTAAGCAAGCGTTGTCTGTTGTGTCCCCGTGAGAACCCTCCATTCAGTCCAGCCTGATCGTGACCCCAAGCTCAGGACCTTGCAGGCTCTTGGACTTCTTTGCACCAAGCATCCCTCTCTCTTTCTTTTCCTCCATTGTTCTTACTTTTCATCTAAGGCCCCCACTCACCTCCCAGACCAGTAGCGCCACCAACCGAGGAAGCCTCGGCTGGTTATTCCCACACGGGGAAGGCTCTCCCGCCTCTGATCTCCCGTGGAAAAAGCGTTGTCTGCGTCACCCTATATCACACCACGTGTGCCACGTCTCACATTCTTGCTTTATGCTTATAATTAACTTTTCAAGTGTGCTTGTGGTGTTTTTCTAATGAACCTATGAATCTTTGAGGGCAGGACTGAGGTCTTCTTTTCCATCTAGTGCCGCTAGGAACAGAGACAGCTCTCACATTTCAAAGATGCTTATCCCTTGAGTCAGTCCTTTCCAATGTGAGGGAGAAAGGGACTCACTTCAGAAGCAGAAATTTTCTGAAACACTGAGCATACATTCCACTTATGAACTATGGCACTAAAGGTTGGCGATTACTTGGCGCCGATGGGATGGTAAATTGAAACACACCATCAAGCACAGATTAACATGAAAGTGAAAATAGAACCTTAAATGTCATAAAAATGTTTAGAACCTCAGTAATACACCTTTAGCCCCCTCTTCCACCCCATTCCTGCCCCCCATCCCCTTCCACTGTAATCCACATTTGACAGTGTTATCACAAGAGCAAAATGACTCGCCCATTACCACCTCAACTCCAGCTGTTTCCTGAGATGAGTCAGCCTCCCTCTGTGGGGCACCGGAAGAGTGGGCACAGGGCAGTTGCATGTTTATGGGATGAGAGGAAGGTTGAAAAAGTCTAGAGCTTTAGATCCCTAGTACCTTTAGATCCTGGTACCACTTCTGCAGGTCAAGCTTCTCTGTGTTAAGAGCAACAAGAACCAGGAGGAAAAGCCTCAAGAGAAGTGTGAGTTTCAAGACAAGGCGGTTGCTGATGCCAGGTCTGCAGACAAGCAGCACGAGGCTAGCAAGTGGGCGTGGCTTGCAATGCTCATCGGGAAAGAGGGAAGGGGGCGGGGAGCCAGAGCACGCAGTAGATTGGGTGCGACGTGGGAGGTGAGAAAATGGAATTGGCGAGAGCAGAGGGGACAGGGACAGAAGCTTCTGGATCCTTTGCTTATTTATTTAGTTTTGGGATGGGGAGATGAGCATATTTGTAACTAACACGACTGAAGGTTCAAGAGAACTGACGCGAGTGATAAAACAAGCATGGCCAGCATGGGGACTGAATTGAGGAGGAAATCAGCCAGAGACAGGAGGGAAAAGCAGCTTGCGTTATATAAGGGGCCTTTGATTATAAGTGAGAGAAACAGCTTGCGTTATATAAGAGGCCTTTGATTATAAGTGAGAGAAACCAATTTATTCTTTATTTTTATTTAAAACAATTTTATATTGGAGTTGATGTACAATGTTGTTAGTGTCAGGTGTACAGCAAAGTGATTCAGTTATACATACATACACCTATTCTTTTTCAGAGTCTTTTCCATTATAGGTTATTACAGAATATTGAGTAGAGTTCCCTGTGCTATACAGTAGGTCCTTGTTGATTATCTATTTTATATACAGTCGTGTGTATATGTTAATCCCAACCTCCTAATTTATCCTGCCCCCACCCCCAGCTTTCTCCTTTGGTGACCATAAGTTTTCTAAGTCTGTGAGTCTGTTTAAGAGAAACCAACTTAAATCAGTTAAGTTAAAAAACAAAAACAAAACAACAACAGAAGCATGGCTGGGCCTCAGGAGCTTCCAGAATGTTCCAGACTCTCCCTACTTGGCTCTCAGGCCCCCTCCGAATCCTCCTCATTCTTCTCTTGGCCCCTGCAGGTCCTCGGCTTCTTCAGTCTTCGTGGGAAACAAGGCTGAGGCTGCAGCCACAGGAGAGGCACTAGACTGACCCTCTTGGCCCCAAACCCAGAATTCTAGGGAAAGTTTCTCACTGGTCCATCCTGAGTCTGTAGGAATCCAACAGGGGTCAATAGGTTGTGCGAGGCTGTGCAGAGGCGGCCGGACGTGAGCACGTGCCCCTGTGGGGACCACGCAGATGGGGGGAAGGAGGGGCAGTCTTCCCTGAAGAGGGGCGTCTGTCGATCCGTGTAGTTCAGAGGTGGAGGGGAGTTTAGAAAGTCTGACAGGTTCGCATCTCAAGTTTGTTTTGTTTTTGTTTTTTGTTCTCAGGGAAGTTGGGGCACCTGGCAAGAATCGGGGGTGGATGGGGATTCGGGCTAGAGAAGGTTTGGAACACTACCGTGAGAAACGAGAAAGCCAGCAGGACAACAGAGCAATGTGGAGGAAGCAGTCGAGGGTAGAAAGCCTAACTGTGCAATGGGGTCCACCCAGATTTACTCACTCGACAAACATGACTGATCACAATCTCTATTTAATCTCCCAGCATCCTGGAGCCAGTACCAATAAAAACAGATGGTTGGGCTGATCCAACGCTGGAGAGTGGAAATGCAGGTGCTTCAGGTACAGGGGGCAGAGGAGCAGAGGAGGGGGCAAGGGCTGGGGTAGGTGGAGACCTGTCCACAGAAGGGGGCACAGGGACATCATCAGGGAGGGGCCGACACTGTCGAGTCTCCGTGGTGTCCTGGTCATGGCCCTTTCCAGCGGAGATGACCCCTCAGGTTAGGTGAACGCATCCTGGTTTGCTCAGGAAAGTCCCATGTAATTATCCACGGGGCCTCTTCTCATTACGGACAGGTCCCGATTCGGATGCTGGATCGCGTGGTCAGCCCACCCCGGCCAGGCCTGAGTGACTGGGGATTATGGCCTCCTGGGGATGTCACTTCACTGTGGCTTCCAGGCCTGCTGATCTGGAAAGAGTAAGTCCTGGCTCTCAACCTGCATCACTCCTGTGGGTCCCACCCAGGGAAATGGAGACTTCTGGAAGTGTCCAGTGCCTGCAGTTATGAGGTCAGAAGAGAATGAATCAGAGAAGGAAACACAGCTGCCCTGGCCTCTCCGGCTGCTCACGGGAGGGAGAGGCCCCATCAGCAGAGGCCAGAGGAAACAGCTCCCTTCCTTGTTGGCAGCAGGCTTGGAAATACCACCCAAACCCCAGCTGGTTTCCCCGAGGCCACCTGATACACCCGGGCGCCTCAGGGCAAGAAGTCCCAGAAACCACGCACAGTTTGTGGCCTCCCACTTCAGCGTTTCTTGGCACAGAAGTGACAAGGGCCGTGCAGGAATCAACTTTGTTTCTGCCACAGTGGGGACTGACGTCTTGCCCGAAGTAGATTCTTCACACGTACTCACGTGACTGAGTGGATGTCTTCTCCAGCACAGACTGGAGCTGTCCTGTCTCAGAGGTGCCTCCGTTGGTGGCCGTGAACTTGGTTTGCGGACAGAAGTGCAACACTGCACCACAGGAGACGGGGCAGGTGAGGATGGGTTGGGGCAGGGTTCTTTTCCTGACCCCAGCTGGTGATCCGCTTATATCCTAAAGCAGGAGGATTAATAACCAGGGTAGGTGTATCCCTGTTAGAATGTAACTACAGATGTGGGCTTGCTGGGTGAAACAGCTAATCCTTTCTACATGTGGCTCACTCTGGAAATACGATGCCTGGGGTTCGCAAAAGAGCTCTTTGCACAGGGGCCTGCTGCTGGGTGTGGCCTCTCTCTCCTGGGCCGCGTGGACAGCTGGCCGGGGGCGTCTGTGCTCTTACCTCTCGGGTGAGCTGACTTCTCACTGGACTGGTGATGGATGGGAAGGCACGAGGCCTGTGTGTCTGTGGACCTGAAGCAGGGCAGGGTGTAGTTGAAGGAAAACGTCAGGTGTAGGAGTGGGTGGGTGCACGGAGAGGCTGGAGGGGGAAAAAAAACTCTTGGAAAAATCAAGGATTATTGCGACTGCAAGTCCCTGAGTCTTGAGGCAGCAGGAGGAGGGAAGCCAGATCGGAGCCAGCAGGCACCCAGGGGTTTACAGCATGGTATGGCTGGAGGCTGCAAAGCCACGAGACACAATTCATCAAAGAGCTGCTGCTGCTGCTAGAGCAGAGATGGAAGGCTTTCCAGGCCAGTCGGTGATGCACTCGGAGCTTTCCCCGGGGCAGCCACCTGCGGTGAGTAACAGGAGACACGTCTCCTCCCGGCGCTGAGGCCTGCGGGTCCTGAGCCCCCGGCTGCCCGGGGAGGAGGCATCCGGGAGCTCTGGGGAGGTTGGGAGGTGGGCGGGGCCTGGGCGGGGGCGGGGCCCCGGTGAGCAGGCGCACGTGACTGCCCCCTCCCTCCCCGCGTAGCCGCCGGGCGTGGCTGCGCCGTCCCGGGGCCGGGCCTCGTCCGTGACCCCGGCCCCTCCAGGGCCGCGCAGGAGGCCCCGCCTGCCTGCCCCCCGCCTTCGCGGGACCGGCCGGTCGCCTCCCCCTCCTCCCTCTCCTCACCCCTCCCGACTTTTCAGTCTGGACTGCGGGGGCCGGAGGTTAGCGCTTCTTTCCTGAGTGCTGCGTTCCAGAAACTTTTACAGATGCCCTGGCGTTCTTGGAAGACGCTGGGAGGAAATCGGAGCGTCCGACATCCCCACCCAGACGCTCCAGAACCAGAGGCGGCATCTGCCCCTGGACCCGAGGGGGCTGGAAAGGGCAGAGCGGCCAGGGGGCTCGCAAGCAGGCCTTCCTCCCCTTCCCTCTCACCTGGGTCCGTCGTTGACGCCGCCCTCCCCCACGCCGCGACCCTCTCCAGCGGGCGGGGGCGGGCCGTGCTGGGGGAGGACTCGGCCTCCCGGGCGGTCCTGGGGTTGGGAGGCTCGCATCGCCATGGCAACGAGCTCTTCCCGTGGGAATACCGAACTCCTGAATGTGCCGCAAATTGGAAAGGGACCCGCTGAGTGCCAGCTGGGGCTCTAGGCGGGCGGGGGCAGGGCTGTGTCTGCAGGGAGGCGGGGCGCGACCGAGCTTGGATGCTGGGCTGCGCGCGTTTCCTCCGAGTCAGCTGGGGCCACACACGCAGGACACGTGACGCGCGCTGCACGCCCCCCTCCCCCCCACCGCCCGGCCTCCAGGTCGGCTGGGGCTGGCTGGCTTAGAGCCGCCCGGCCCAGCGTCGGCCGGCTGAGGAGGATGCCTCCCTTCTGGGGGTCTGCCCCAGTCCCCTAGCCGATGAGACCAGTAGCTCCTGATGGGAGGACAGGCGGGGTTGGCTGTGGAATTCAGTTCTACGTGGCTGAGGCCACTGGCTTCTCTTTACAAAATTTTTTTTTCAGTTTTAAAAGTTGTATCAATCATTAAAAAAGCATAATTCATTTTCTTAGTTCAGAAAGGTGTAAAAAGGAAATGAACATGAGCCGCAATCCCCGTCTTTCCAGCCAAAGATGACCAACCACTGTTAACATTCTGCTGTCATCCTCCAGATACGCCCACACGGTCACCTAGGGAGGTACTAGTGACAAAAGTAGATTCCATGATGTTTTGTCGCCTGCGTTTTCACTTAACTTACCAAAGACATAGAAAAATCTGCAGTTATTTCTAATGGCAACATAGGGTTACTATAACTTATTAGCCAATTTGCTGTTGCTGGAAATATAAATCGCTTCCCCATTTTTACTCTTCTGCATGATGATAAACGTCCTTCTGCGTACATTTTTGCACCCAGTCTGTTAGTTTCCTTAAGGTAAACTTCTAGAAGTAGGATTACTGGGTCAAAACATATGGGCATTTAAAATTTTGATGCATATTTCTGAATTATGGGTCGTGAGTGTGTGGTTTTTTCTTTTTTGAGAGCTGGTGGACTTTATTCTCGCCCCCCGCCCTGCCCCAATCGGTCTTGGGAATAACAGGGAAAAATTCCTTATACAGTCTGTATTGCCCCCTCAAAGCAAGACCTGAAACAGAGTTTGGGTGTGAATAGTTCCTTCCAGGGGCCATCCAGGAAGCGCTCTGAGGGTCAGTAATGAACGGGGAACTGCTGGGGGCCATGGGGTCCAATGCTGCCGGGGACCCTCTGGGCGACCATGCGGAACACCCCAGACTTGACCCCCATTCGTTTCTGCAGGGCATTAACTGTCCAGATGGTTTGACTTTCCCCACTGTTATTTGGAAAACGTCTGCGGGTAAATTCTGAGGAAGGCCCGGGGGTATGGCTGGAGCACCTACAGCCTCAGTTACAAATGAATGATCGCCCCTTCCCCCGAACCCAAACCAGGGGACGAGGTAATCCAGGGCAAAATTGCAAAATGGGTTAAGATTTCATCAGCCCCGCCACCTTCCCTCTCTGCTCCCTAAACCATCTCTTGGTGCCAACCGTGCCCCTGCCCCAGGCTTCCGAGGTATTTGATTCTCCAAGACACATCAAAGAGGTCTTCGAATGATTTTCTCCGCAGTGTTAGAGACAAAGGCTGTTGGTTACCCTTCCAAGCATGTTTACATTTGAAGACAGGTACCAGGAACTCTTCACCAAAGGAATTGGTGATAATGTTGGCATTTCAGGCACGGTGGCAGCGGAAGCCTTTTCTGGCGGAGCACCCAGCCTGAGGCCGGTCCAGCACAGGAATTCTGCACGTCCTCTCCTGACCTACGGCAGGTGAGAGGCAGCAGGAAGGCGGAAGTGGAGGGGTGGGGGGAGGGAGGGAAGAGTCCAGAGCCTTGCTTTTCTCACATGGATGACACTCCCTGGCATGTGGATTTCATTCTTTTTTTAATTTTTGAACTTTTTAAAAAAAATTTTTGGCCACACCATGCGGTACGTGGGATCTTAGTTCCCTTGCCAGGGATCGAACCCGTGCCCCCTGCATTGGAAGGTGGAGTCTTAGCTACTGGACCACCGGGGAACTCCCTGGCCTGTGGATTTTAGAAAATGAGGCAGGAAGGAGGAAATCAGGCTGGATCTGTTGCTGGAGGGGAGGGGAAATAAGTGAGCCGCCAAGGCAAGCGGGGTGAGACCGTTGTTAAGAAGAGGACTGAGCAGGCGAAGAGGATGAAGACTCATCTCCACTGGCTGTGGGTGCGATGAGGCACTTGAACGAGGAGCTCGTGGCCACGGTCTGCATCTTCCCTTCCTCCGGTGTGTCTGCCCTCCTTCCTCCCTGGCTGCTACTTCTCGTGTCCATCAGGGCCTCCACTTTCTTCTGCCTGTCCCTGCAGGCTGATGCTACCTAGCGTTCTGTCCTGTACCCCTTTTCTTCTCCAGCTGCACACGCAGTCTGGGCGGTCAGCATCCCTCTGTGGCTTCTGCTGCCGCCACCGCATGCAGACACGCACAGACGCTGGCCCAGTTCGTCGGGAGCTCAGGTTCCGACTGTCCAGAAGTTGAAAGCATTCGGGGCAGTGGGAGGAATCTTGGGCCAGACACGTACTCCCTTTGGTGTGTGGTCTCTGGTTGTCACATTCGAGAGCTAGTGTCCCCAGTGGAGCTGTGAGCTGCGTGAGGACAAGGGCCTTGGATTTGACTTCCCTGATTAGCCTCCTGCAGTGCCCACGGTGGAACGGCCCTCTGTAGGTGTAGCCTGTAGGGAACGGCAGAAGAAAGCGGACCCCCTAAGGGACACTGAGAAGGGGAGCCAGAGAGGAAGGAGGGCAGACACACCGGCGGAAGGGAAGATGTAGACCGTGGTCACAAGCTCCTCATTCAAGCGCCTCATCGCACCCACAGCCAGTGGAGGTGCGTCGTCTTCATCCTCTTCGCCTGCTCAGTCCTCTTCTTCTTCTTCTCCTCCCCCTCCCCTCCCCTCCTCTCCCCTCCCCTCCCCTCC